TTGAGGATTCCTGTTGTACAATAGATGTGGTTGGCTCAGGACAAGGGCACTCCACATGCTCCCCACTCGCCTCAGTGTGTGGTGATGCCAAAGCAATGCCAGAATCGCTGGCCTTTGGAGTAACAAGTTTACTAGCGTCAGCCTCTATTCCCACTTTAAGTCGCTTTGCGGAGAACCCAACAACTGTTTCGCCCTTGTTTCCTGTGGTCTGTATTGAGAACAAGATAAGAAAATAAAACAAATGGCAGATTGGCTTGCAGTATGTAACACATGAGGCTAGTATTGCACTTCTACAGCAGGGTGTCTATACATGGAGATTAAAGCCAAGAGTTGAGGGGGTAATTATATAGAGATGGCATGATATGAAGCTCTAAATGCTATTTTCCTGGCATGAATTTTTCTTTCTCAACTTTTATTTTTTTCTACCCGTATTCTTCCAGCAATAGAGGAAATTTCTTCATAAAAAAGTCTTCCGATCAAACATGTATAGTAACTGAAATTATAAGGGATGAAAGTTTACTTGTTTTTCAAGTTTATCTAACTGGCGCCTAAAGTCATTCCGCTTCATGTCTAGCATTTCTTGTTTCTTCCGGAGTTCCTCCTTTAACTGTTCCAGATTCTCTAATTTCTTTTGCAAAGGTGAAGAAACCTTTGGGCTGCTGAAAGCATGAGAGTGATCTGGGGCAGCTAAAGAAGATTCCAACGGATGGGAAACACTGCCCTTTGAAGTGGAAACCTGGACACTATTCTTTCCTTTGACAACAAGTGGAAGAAGTGAAACAGCTGCAATATGACGTGGAGGAACATGAATACCATTATTACTGCCTACACCAGCATCAGGAATGTTGTCACGATTGGCCCACCAAAGTTTGATAAAACGGTTTCCCATAACAGCATCAGGTGACTTTAGAGCAGCTTCTGCCTCTTCCCTTTTTGAGAACTGAACAAAAGCACGTTGACTATTTGCTGGAATATAGATGTCAATGACCTCACCATATTTTTTAAAATGAGAAAGAAGTGTCTCTGTTTTGTTGCTTTGTGGTGGAATCCCATTGACAAACAGAGTACGTAATGCTTTCTGAGATGGTTTGCGCATAGTACGCATGGCATTGGCATCATTCAGTGCCTTGTGAGATAAATTTCCTGCTTCAGTGTGAGCATCACCCTGAGCCATGTGCTTTTGGTGGTGAGAATTTCCTTGAACACTAGTCAGTACCTCATTGTGTTCCTTCACTTCATTATCAAGACAACCAGAGGAATTTACTGGATCAAGTTTCCCTTTCACATCTTGTCTATTCCTCGACCCAACTCTACCCCAAACAGAAGAACTAGTAACCTGTGAACCACTTGTTGCAGTAATTCTACTAGAGCATCCATTATCAGCAGCATCACATTTCCTAACCTGATTCCTATCAGAAGGATCATCTCCCATCAAGGATTCAACATCATCAGTCTTTGATGAATGCATGCCTGAGAGTGCATTTGGTTTCTCAGGACAATTGTTGTTCCATAGGGGTTGATCAGGATCATACAAGTCAGCTTCAGTTGCACTACCAGAACCTGAATATACACCATGAAAGGGCAATGAATCATCTCCTACACCAGGCTTGCTATTTTTTCCAAGCAATCCTTTGCCGCTCATTACTATCGTGGGAGTTGTGCTAACTGCAGGCAGAGATCCAGTAGTTTTCCCCATTAGGTGTGCATTTGGAAGCGACAGAGGAAGGTTAAATTGAGAAAGACTCTGGAAATGCAAGAGCATACAATTCATTAGAATTAGATTTATGGTTATTAGTTGTCCATCAAAAGCATAGAGAAATTCCTTTTCAGGTAATACATAGGCCAGAAACAACCCAAAATCTGTATTGGTTGGTAAGATTATTGCCTATGCACGATAAACAATAAGGTTCAACCAAATAAAAAATGTAAATGGAAAGGAAATTATATTGTTCTCTTCAATTTTTTTGTCCTCTATCAAGCAATTTATAGATATAACTTAATATTTGGTTAGTTTTAACAAAATTTCTTATGCAAGGAACTAAGCCACTTCGCTTAAAAGAATTTATAGCAAATAAAATTAATAGAGGAACCTATAATTTTATGGCGAAACGAATAATTAATGGGGCAGACAAGTTTATGAGAGAAATTATAAAAAGTTCTTTATATAATTAAAATGAAAATGATAATACTAAATAACAGACCTGAACAATATAATGAACAAAAAGAATAATTAAACAAAGAGAGTAGAGGTCAATTCCTCTCCTTGAACGGCTAGTTGTTTTCAAACTACATATGCAAGCACATACTAAATTTTTATGAAGAAATGACAACTTGGATTTCTAAAGCAATTGCACAAATAACAATGGAGCCAATCATTTTCATCATATACTTTAATTGGGATTTTTTTTTTTATAAAAAAGTTATGCAAACAAGAGAGTAAACAGAAACACAAGTACCCAAAAATCAATCCTGAAAAGAATTCTCTTTACATATTTTTCTTTGAAAAACCTACACATCAAGAAAATCCCTAAAATTTAGGCAGGGTAATCCTAAGGTAAAGTCACCTTCTTCTCTGAAGTTCGGACAAAAGATAACAATATCCTTCTAATGAAGAAAACTTGGAATCTAAGAACACCAAAATCGATGCTTCCAATAGTTGGCAGTGCCACAGAGAGATATAGCCAGAATACCATAAGTTATGTTCTATATAATTTAAGGAAAAAAGAAAGGCATATATTCAAAATGGCTTCTAATTGGACACCTAGCTCAGCCAAGTGTAGAAAAGAGGGTGATATACATACCTGGACATCTTCAACTACGATGCGGTTAATACCATGCTCCATAGGACACATATCTCCTCTAAGGCAGAATCCACGCTCCTCAAAATCTCTACATCTCTGGCGAGGAATGCCTATGTTCAGAGGAGGGTTGATTGGAGGTCTAAGTGTTCCCTGCAAACCAATGGGGTGCATCGTTTCTAGCCCACTATTTGGAATTCCTGGTATTAATCCAAATGCATTCCATGGTGCAGTTTGTGCAGTAGAAACACTTGGTAAACTCCTTCCAGCAAATAGACTAGGAGGAAAAGGCCCACGGTGAACAATTTGGGAAGCAATATCAACTGGACTAAACCTTGAATCAAACTGGTTCCAAGTGCCAGACTCCCTTCCTCTTCCCCTACCAGAACTTAGGTCACCAGAAAACGTCTGGTTTGCCCTGATCCTTTGGTTGAAATCCCCAGCCAGTCGAGCTCCTGGCACTGAACCCAAGCGTCTTTTATCAAATTTCCCAGGTATGTCTTTCTCAAGAGTCGGAGTATTGAAGGACTTCCAAGCTTCATTGGCTTGAGAATCGTTGTCCCTAATACTACGTCCATTTTCAGATGGTTTACTACGCTTACCATATGGCCTCAAAACATGTTCACGTGTATCTCTTTCCAAAGACTGAGAGCGTGTCTCCCGCCTCCTATGCTTATGGTTTCGATCATCATCTTCGTCATCACTAATATCCTTTTCCTCGGGATCACTTACATATTCAGAGGAAGAAATGCCCAGCTTAGGATATGAAACTTTCAGTTCCATTTGTCTCCCAGCAAAAACCAGAATGATCCCTTATTGCTTAAAAGAGCGTCTTGTATCCAGGACTGCAATGACTATATTTAGTTCTTGTAACCTAAAGAAACAAACAAAGAGAGAAATCAATTAGCCCCGAAAGATGATAACAATATACAGAGCTACAAAAGGAATCAATTCTTCCGCATTCATTAATCATCTGTTCCCTAATGAAATACGAAGCACACTAGTAAACAGCTTAAAAGCATACTTAAAAAATCAAGTATCGAATTGGTCCCCTTAATCCCAATAATCCATCACTTCAATGGCGAACTAATTATACCAGAACCACAATAGTTCAAATTTTTCCAGGAGCACAACAAAAAACGAACTCGTAGAAACTAAAAAAAAATAACAAACACATAGCAGTAAAGAAACAACGAACGAATAAGTTACCGAATATTCTCCGAGAAATTGATCCAGACAGCGCTTCGAAACGCTTGAATTAGTCAGAGCATGGAAACTCGGCTATGGAATTAGCGGAGAGCAAAGCAAGAAGATAAAACGAAGCGCATTTGAAGAGGAACAGAGACGATAAAAAAGACAAGATCGTTGTACGAAAACCCCGCCGGCGTTTAGCGATTCAACGGAGGTCCGGCGAGAGAGAGAGAGAGAGGGAGAGCGCGCGCGCTCGTGAGGGTTTCCTTCGCAACCCTGACCTCGTATATGGCCCCCTTCGGAGCTGTGAACAGCAAACAGGATTCTAGACCGAGAGAGAAGAGAGGAGACGACGACGACGACGACGATTGTACCGTACCAAATAAATTTAGGAAAAATTGCAAAGCGAGAATTTGATACGAGATTGAGAAATTATATTTTTCCCCCATGCTATTTTGCTATTTGTGTATTTGCCCCATTCTGGAGCCTCATTATTGTACTTAAATGGGCCGAATTTATGGGCCGTTTGGGAGATTCTTAAGGGCCCAAAGTATTAGAAAGGTGGGCTTCATAGTCGTCGATTGGGTCGCGCTAATGACCTAGGAACAACTAAACGCAAACCGCTAATGCAGTTCGATTTAGGGTGAAAAAACCAAACCTAAAATCGAACCGAACCGAACCGAACCGCAATAAATATAAATTATTATATAATCTATTAAATTTAAATATGCATCTTTGTCTCTTTTTAAGTGTTGAAATTTAATAAATTAATAAAGCAACAATTTAATTGAAAATAAAAAATGTAAATAAATAATATACGTTTAGGTCTAAGATAACCTAAACACCCGCTAATCTCTAGCGGGAAAATGAAATCCAAAAAAAAAATTCTAAAGAAAAAGAAAAATACACTATTGAGCTGGAATGTGGTCTCATAGAGTGTCGAGATATTTTACAAAAGTATGTCATATTTGAAAGTCAACTTGCTTACTCTCCAAATTACATGTATTTTCCTTTTGGAGAGAAATATATTAATAGTAATAAAAATAACGACAATTAAGCTCTACATAAATTAAAATAAGTATTGGATAGTTGACATGCCAGAAGAACCGGACCATGGCACTTGGACTGCCACCATTTGGTCTTGGTACTTGAACCCAACATCCTCACCATTGATAAGACAAGCTCTTGGTTTTTTTGATGCAAACACGCGCATCTCACCGGTACCTTTGATGCTAACCTTAACAGAGCTTAGGTCATCATTGTAGACCACACATTGGATGGCACCACCTGTGTTGAGCATGTTGATGAGGCCAATTGGGGCAAATTGAATCGAGGTTTCAACGAGTGTGGTGATTGGTGAGACACTGATGAGTTCAAACTCGAACGGGTCAAGAGAAATTTCGATGTTTTGGGAAGGTTTGGCGATGATGAGCTTCTTAGATTGATAGTGGTAGAGTGCAAAGGTTTTCACACCTTCAATAGAGATCGGTTTTTCACCGCTGTTCCACTCAATGTCTTTTGCATTAGTTTTGGAGGTCACTCGTTTTGAGTATTGAGAAAAACATTGGTTTCGTCGCGTCTCACGACACCATCCTCCTCCTTGGCAATTGAATGCACCGATCACACCAGTGAACTATTAAAAAAAAAAAAAAAAAATTGACCATCCCATTTGAGTTTAATAATTTCCTAACCATTTACACAATGTTTCAGTTAAACAAAACAAAAATGTTTACCTTATTCAAATTCCATATCTTGAGCATAGTCTCTCCATTATGCAACGGGTCTTCAAAGAGACAATCACGAGTTGGTAGAGCATAGTACTCACTACGAAGGATCGACCCATCAGGGAGCACTAATTTTTTTAGGAGATCAAAATTATGCTTCCCGACAGAGTCACTGACGTAAATCGGACCACCAGAGATGGCTCGAGAGGCGGCATGGAAGGCAGCACAAGGATGGGTGGATTGGAACATATCCCAATCAGGGTGGATAAAGTTACTCATCCACAGGCTATTATAGGCGCAATGCACCATGTGGCATCCTTGCAACCAAAACGTACCGTTTGGATCACCAGAAGGATCAGTGCACCAAAAGTCATCACCTAATAATTCGATCAAACAAATTCATTTTATCAGTTAAAATTTTGATGACTTAACCCGATAAGGTCAATGAGACCGACCTTAACAAAATTGAAATCACGAGTAATTCAAATCATTAAAAACAACGTACCAACACGACCAAGAGATACAGCTTGAGTCCCGAGAAACATAAAGTCGTTACAATGTTCCATACTCGCAATAACTCCGTTTCCTTTGAAATGTTTATTTATCGACTTCGTCATGGCATTATAATATGCCTTTGCCAAATCCACTCTCCCTCCATAGTCCTCACACAACATCTCCAATAACTGTCACATTCAAACAATCAATAAGCCATAATGAAACACAATGAAGATCAAAGATTAAGGTAACGGTGCTTACATGGATAACGTCGATCTTAACGCCGTCAATCCCGACATTCTCCAAATGAGCATGCAGCCCCTCGTACATTTCCTCGGCCTTCTCCGGCGGCACCAACCCCACTTTATGATGAACAATCTTATCAACGGCTAAATCCTCCATCGTCATTTGTAAGCCCGGTGACAGTACCGGCTGGATCACATTTGCCTCCGGCAAGCCGGGCACCTCCGGCCGGAGCCCGCCCCAATACCCACACAAAGCGTGCCAAACGTACACATACTCCACTGTCTTGAACTCCCCCTTCAGCTCGTCTATAAACGCCTTCATCCCCTTTTGGGTGGCGCCAAAGGAGGAGGCCTTTGGGTTGACATAGTCACGAAATTTGTAATTCTCTTGGAATTTCAAGAGGCGGCAGGGCATTTGTTCTCCTGCGACCGTTTGGTTCATTCCTTCTTTCGTGATGGGGTCGGAATCGTGCCCGATGGACTGCCAACCGTCGTCGATTAGGACTAGGCCAGGAGGGCAGCCACCGTCGACGAGATGTTTTACGCCTTCGATGATGCCTTGTGGGTGAACTGTGAGGTAAAATGCATCCCATGTACACCAACCGAATTTATCCACGATACCTATATAATTGTAAGATATTGAAATAAGTTTGTGCGGAAAGTGACAATATCATATCATTGTGTAAATGGGTGATTTCTAACTATTATTTTATATGATCGGCTAAAAAAAATTAAATTTTTGAATTTTGGTATAGTTTTATAATAACGGGTTGAGTGATTAAACTTAACGTGACAACTATTTCATACTTAATTAAGCGATAAAAACAAATTTTTGAATTCGGGTGTAAATTAATAATACCTGGGGGAGTCTTCTCCTCGAGCAAGCGGAAAGTTCCGAGGTGGGTCCTCACGATCTTCATCGCCTCCTTGACAAGTGCAAACGGGTCATCGCCAGCATGAAGATACAACGCACTCCGAAACGTGGAACCAACAACTTTCGACGAGCCACTCTCAACACAAACGTCGACAAAGTCGTCGTCCCCGGGCTGAATCGACGTTCTAAACGGCCCCTCGACGAGCGGAAGAAGGAGAACATACGGCCGGCCAGAATCCGACTTCTCCAGGATAACAATCTGAGTCTCGGATTCAAGGTCGCTACCATTCCGACCAACCCAATGCGTGGTCCACCAAACCTTAAACCTGAAGATACTCATAAACCGGATATCCTTCAGCTTTCCAATGGAAACGACATGTCGGCTGTCAGGTTCCGACGCGTCGAACCCAACAAAGCAACCAACAGAAACCGGCGACTTGTCGATCGAAGTGTAGGGTGAAGGAGAAGCGACAATATTCTCCGCCACGTCAGACAGAAACAAATGTCCGTTCACAGTAAAATCCGACTTGTCGATGGAGAATGGACACGACATGTCGTTCAAACCATCATACGAAACGACGTCGTTGGAGCCGCCATTTTTCAAACTGGGAGCCATTAAACCCAAAAACTAAAACAAGGGTTAGAAAGTTGGGGTGAAGAATAAGAGAAATGGAGAGGATTTTATAGAGAAGAATTGAAAAGAAATATAAAAGAATATGAGGGCTTTTTTGCAAATTACAGATTCTTGAGGATCGAAAAGGAAAAAGGGGAAATTTTGGTTGATTCTCTGTGAAAAAGCTTTGAGGCTAACAATGGTAGAAGGGAAGAGGAAGAGTTGGGGGTTTTATAGATACGGAGACCTGCGAAAAGGAAGGTTCGTGGGAACATGGGTTCGAACTTTGACGTTGTCACTTTTTTTTTGTTTTTTTTTTTTTTAAATAGTGAGTTAATACAAATTTAAATGTTTATTTAATATTATTAGGCGGTGGATCAAAAAAGTGTATTTAAATAAATTATCCACATCGGATTGGACTGGTTTCTCAAAAAGAAAATTAATGGTACCTCTCCAACTTGTTTGGAAATTATTTTTAAAATAAAAAGTGTATTTGAATATTTAAAAAATAAAAATAAATAAATAAAACCTCACTTTCCTTCAGCATATTTCTATTTTTTAATATAATTTTTATTGTGGTAATATTTTTTTAAGTAAATATTCATTTATAGTTTGATTAATTATCTGCTAATAAATATTATTCAATTTGGTTTGTTACATATTATCATCAGTTCACAGTTTTACAATGCGTGTGTTATGACAAGATTTCTATACCAACACTTTACAGGAAATGTTTTGTTATCATGTCCAACCAATGTGGGATCTCACAATCCACTGTCTCGAGGACTAATGTCCTATTTGACGCATAATTCGGTGTTTAGCTCGTTACGTATTGTCGTCAACCTCACGGTCTTACAATGCATCTATTAGAGAGAGATTTTTATATCGTTATAAAAAATGTTTCGTTAATCTCTTTGATGAATGTGGAATCTCGGACTAAATCTATAAATTTAACTTATTCCAATAGAATGAAATGAAGGCAAGGGGACAGAGGCATTAATTAATATTACCTTATTTGAGGGCCAAATTTCCAAAGCTTTCTAGGGTTTTCCTGGAATAAATTTGAATTAATTTGGCATTAATTATCCAAATTTTATCTCTCTCCTCTTTATTATCACTCTTCTAGTTGACAAGAATTTCATATCTTCAAGAATATTCAATCATTTTCTTGAAGAATAATTAATTTCTTTTCAAGTTCATGAATGGAATTTTTCTTCAAACCTTTTTTTATTTTTTAATGGAGTTTTTATTTTATTTTCTTACATTTTTTTTTATTTTTTTTTTCTTGCAAGGTGCATAGTCCCATCTCGTGAAAAGGAAATTAAAAAATAAATAAATTTAATGATATGTTGCAAAAAAAAAATAATAATAATAATAAAAAATAAAAAATAGTGGTTTATACATCTCACTTTGTTAAATTTTAATAATTTTTTTTAAGATAGGAACTAAATTATTAAAATTTACAAAAAATAATAAATAAATTATTATTCATTAAATTTCAAAGACTAAATTATTATAAATTTAATAAATATGTACTAAATTATTATAAATTTAATAAATATGTACTAAATTATTATTTATTAATGTGGAGATAAATAATTATTTAAATAAAAAATAAAATTAATTTTTTTTTTAAAAAAAGAGGTAATATTCTTTTATTCAAAGCTTATGGTATTTTTTCGGGCCACAAGATACTATGGGCCCTTCTTTTAGTTTAACGTTTTTTTTTTTTTTTTTTCTTTTTTTATAATTCCAAACAAAAATTGATATACTGTGTGGGACCCACCTCGCATAAGGCGACAGCCACGTGTCGCGCTTTTGGTCCATCCTCCACCGACCTCCTACCTTTCTCTCCTCCTTTTTAAATATAATAATAAACGACCAGGTTGCCACGTGGCATTCTTCTTCGGTAAGTAAACGACCCTGAAGCTTTGAAACGTCACCGTTTTGTTTTAAAGAATATAAAATTTTGCTTTTCTTGTTTTACTTATATTATGACGTCACTTTCAGAAATCTAAGTGGCTGGGAAAATTAAATTAAAAGGAAAAGAAAATGTGTGGGGGGAGCGGTTTTGATATAACTACTCGCGGGGGTTCAACTACCAAACGGACCAATTAGAAATGCCCGCGTGTATGACAGTTGTTAGTTTCATTCGAGACAGCACGTGTTGTGTACACGTGGGAGTTCGTGATAGGATTTGTTTGGTCTTCGTGTGTGTCGCACGTGCTTCAACGGAAGTTACCGACACCGACCTTTGAAATTTGAACTCCGACACTTGTTTTATTTTCGACTTAATTGACGGTGAGTCCTACGAAATCTATATATAATAAAAATAATTAATGCTGCCATATCTTTTACTTACCAAATAAATAAATGAATAAATAATATTCTTTCCTTATTTTTATTAAGAATTATTGGGAGTGAGTCCGACTACCTTGGTTAATTTTGAAATGTATTATAGAATTCTAATTACCATTCAAAAAATATAAAGTTTACAATTCAATCGAGCTCAACTCCACCATTTATTTTTCTTAAATTAGACAACTCGATTATTCTTATTTTTTAATTTCTTAAAAAAATTATTTATCCATAATATACGTTACATTAATGACTACAATTTCATAAAACTAAAATATCAAACATTCACACGTCACAATATATCACTAACATTAGTTATAAACATCAAATATTTTTAATTTTCATAATAATCTTAAAAATAAAGTAAGGTAGGATTAGACTGCAACTCTATTTTCAGATTTTCAGATTTGTACCGGCATAAATTTTTTATTTTCAAAAAAATTTTCAGAATTAAAAAATAAATAAATTATTATAAATTAAAGTCAGGGTTTATGACTAAGAGCATTGTATTATTTAAAATTAAATTGATTAATTTTTAATACTAATTTTGTATATTATAAAATAAAAAAAAAATAATGAGATTTGAATATTGAATGAACGGAAAGTTTCTAGATTTTGTATTTGGATTTGATTTTTGTATTTAATTTAAACCATTATTAAATTAATTGCAATGGAGTCAATACGTCGACGTGTGTTGAAAAAAAGGCACACGTGTCATTATCTAGCTGAAGCCACCAAACAAATGCTTCCTTTATTATGACAGCACAAACACACTTTCCCTAATTGAGCGGCAATGACGTGGCTTTAGTGTTGACGTGTCACTAGCATATTAATTTCGGGACCTTACCATTAGGATGAATTATATAAAATTATTTTAGAGATGTCATAAACTCTCAAATTTTAAAAACTTCCATTATAATTATAAATGTAAAAATAAAAAAATAAAAAAAGTCATTTCATTCGGTCAAATCAACCAATTTGGTCGGTATTATTCGATTAAAGCTTCTTTTTTTTTTTTTTTATAATCAAATATCCAACAATTTATTTATTTTAATTTTTTGAAATAAAAAATGGGATTTATTTTAAAATTATTAATTTTGGGCTTTCTTGTAGGACTGAAATCCAGATGGCAATTGAATTCTTGAGCTGAACGACATGTCGGCAAGCTGTGCAAAACAAGTGTAAAATAAGCTCGCACGTGTCGGCCATGCATGCCCCTTTTGGTTACACACCCATATATTAATTAAATTTCAGTAATTTATTTTCTGCACAAAAAATTTCATTTCTACATTTTCCCCGTGCAATCGGAACTCTAAACAGGTTAGTTTTTTTTTTTTTTCTCTTTCAATTTATGTATTTATTTATTTATGATAAAAATAAGTGAGTTCCTTAATTTGTAAGCAAAACTCCATATTTGATTTTAATTTCTTTCACTTTCTTACTTTTATTGGTGTATAATTAAACGTGCAATATATTTGTAAGAAATCAGGAGGTTTGTTTTACTAATTTTCCAATTCTAGGGGAAATTATGTAATATTTATAATCATAATTTATTAAGTTAGAAGTGGATTATTGGTGTGGAGGAAAAACTAATATTAACTTTTAGTTTAGAAAAATTTGAGATGGGAATGGATGTGACAGTAAAATGATGTGACAGTGATCTAGCTAATTTTTTATTAGGTTATTAAGTGTTCATCGGTATGAAATTTAGTAATATGATTGCGTATTTGGACCCATTAAAATTAGGCATCTCGTTTAAATGTCATATTGTTTTTGAAGGTTTAGGTTTAGCAAGGGAATTGGGGAAAGGAAATGGTGGGGAATGTTGTGTACAAGGGACCAAGCGCAATAAAGGAGATAATATATGGAGTAGGGGTAGGGCTAATGGCTGGTGGCCTCTGGAAAATGCACCATTGGAATTACCAAAGGAGAACCAAGGAGTTCTATGAGTTGCTTGATCGTGGTGACATTACTGTTGTTCTTCCAGAGGACAATTAATGTAATTTTCTCTCTTTTTTTTGTAAAAATTAATTAGCTTAAATTGTAAGTTTTGTTTTCAACTTTTAATTTTTTTGGATGTTCTTTTAGTTTAATGTTTATTTAAATTGGTTTAAATTAGAAGGTTTGATTTATATTCGATAAGCTAAAGAAGTTATAGCATCATCAGGCTAAATCACTTGGTCACGGTGTTCTAGAACATTCATAGAACATTCATACTATTCATAAGTATAGTCTTTAAATTATCATTGGTTAAGAACTTAACTAGAAATTGGACCTTTTTTTATTGATATTCATAACTTCAATTACTTTTAAATATCAACTAATATCATAAAGAATGTTAAATAGGATTCTAGCCACTAATATCTATAAATTAATTAAATATAAGAAAAATATAAGAATTAGCCATTCATAAGAAATACCTCTAAATAAGAAAAATATAAACTAATTAAATATGAACTAATTTTGATAAATAAGAAAAATATAAACTAATTAAATATTGAGAATTAATGACTAATTCTTATAAATAAGAAATATCTTTAAATAAGAAAATCATAAACTATTCTCGCCCATTAATATCTATAAATAAGAAATACCTTTAAATAAAAAAAATATAATTAATTTTGATAAATAAGAAAAATATAAACATATAAAGAATAATATGAATAAAATAGAAAAAAGATTGAAATATAATATTTAAGTTATATTACATAGATAATATATATTCCTATCTCACTGTATGAGGTATTCATATTATTCACAAGTATAGTCTCTAAATTATTTACAATAATAATGACGACATTTTTCTTATGGGATACCGATTCTCTTGTGAGTGTAATAAACGTAGAGGATTGAATCTGACCTCATGAAAGAAGTAAATTCGACTTCGAGGAGGGACTGATATTTTAACGGCTAATGAAGGTTTGGATTGCTAAATTATGTTCTCGCCTATTTGAAGTAGAAGACGGACATAAAATGAATGTAGTTGAAGGCGGACAGAAAAAAAGATGATTTGATCACGATCGAGTGACATTTACTCGGCTTAAACCGAGTCGAGAATTTTTAGAGGGGTTTTAATTGTTCGCTCTAGATTTCTGGAATATTGGAGTTTGAAGAGGGGGAAGGAGAAGCCCTCAACCCACAATAGATACAGAGAGTGGAGGATTTGTTGTCTTGGGGCTTTGATTGTTGGTTGGAGTATGAAGGATGAGGAAAACTGGGTTGCTATAGTTTAGTTTGGATTCAATTCAGTCAAATCTCCAGTTCTTGAAGGCAAGTTAGAAGAAGAAGAACCTGAATCTGTTGATGTGCAAGAAGAAACATCAAGTTTGGAAACCAAGCTGCTAACTCTACAAGATCTTCTGGAGGCTCCACAAGGATTCAAAAACGGAGGTTGTTCTGGGATGGAAACCTTCCTCTCTCCTTCACTGCTTAGCAGTTTCACCACGGTCGCCATTGACGGTCTTAAAGAAGCTAGAGCTTGTGTGCATAACAGCCCTATTTGCAGAACATCCATGGCTTCCTTTGCAGGGTAATCCTTGTTCAAGCATGAGTCAATGGCTTCACTTAATCTCCCTGATTTGTACAGATCCCAAACCTGTGGCATGAGAACAATGAGAATATTATCAACTTCCTCTCTCCTTATATGATTAGTAATCATGAATCTTACTGTTTGGAGGAGTGGGGTAGAGTTTTCTGTGAAGGAACTGTTTCGTCTACCACAGACGATCTCGAGTATCAGCACTCCAAAGCTATAAACGTCTGCCTTTTCGGTAAGCTGTCCTCGAACGAGATATTCAGGAGCCATATAACCTCTGTCTCATCGCACATTTGTTCAATTAAGAGTTTGAATAAAGTCAGATACAGATTGTGATCAAGATAGTAAGTAGAACTCTCTTACAGTGTCCCGGCAATTCCGGTGCTAAGATGAGTGTGATCGGCTGCGAAATGCCGAGCGAGACCAAAATCAGCAATCTTTGGATTGAAATTTTCATCCAGAAGAACATTACTACTCTTTATGTCTCTATGGATTATTCTCATCTTACAACCTTCATGAAGATGTGCAAGCCCCTCAGCTGTTCCCAGGATAATATTGAAACGCTGCCTCCAATTCAGAATCTGAACCTCCTTCTTATCTAGGAGAGAAGAAGGATCATGGGAGGTCAAAACAAAGAAGCATATGAAAAGATGGTTACGAAGTGCGAAACATTACCGAAAATGAACTGATCGAGGCTCCGATTCGGAGCGTACTCGTAGACCAGCAGGCTTTCAGGCCCTTCAATGCTGCAGCCTAAAAGGGTAACAAGGTTTTTGTGTTGGATTCCACGAATCAAATTCACCTCATTGAAGAACTCATCAACCCATTGCCTGGTATGGAAAACCAACCTCTTCACAGCAACAATCTTCCCATTTGGAAGAGTTCCTTTATAAACAGAACCAGCTCCACCTTGGCCTATCTTACTTGATGGGCTGAAGTAATTAGTGGCCTTTTCAAGCGTTTCATACTTGAAATTCACATCGGAATCCCTAAAGGAAATTGGAATAAGGGATTGTTTTTTCTTCTCTGGAAGAACAGATGAATGCAATGGAAAATTTAGAGGAATCCACAGATCAATCACAAGGTTCTTGACAATTTAGCTGCTGATAATAGTAAATGCATAACATACAGGCAATAACAATATCTCCATCCATGGTTTAAATCTGAAAATTTAGCTGAGCTTACTTTTCTTTAAGTTTGATATTCTTGTATAGCATGCAAAAGCAGCTGAAATGGCGATGATCAAGGAGGCAACTGAAGCTAAAACAATGGCAGCTACAGCTCTTCTTCCAGAAAATCCTGAAGCAAAGCATAAAGAAGAGATATAGAATAAGAATTATAGGACATGAATCAGCTTAAAAAGCTCAAGTGGCTATCAATCATGGTTGATAAAGTGCTGAACACTAGAGATCTAGAAGTAAGATTGAAAACTATGCTAGAAATGGAAGAAAAACGCAGAGCCTTTCTGTTTCTACAAGATCCATAAACACAGTTTATAGATTAACATGCACAAAATTTTCAGTTCAAGTTGGGAAATCTTCAAAATCTAAACGACAAACAGTCATTCAACAAAAGAAATTCTGAAGTGAAACAGTTCATGAATTGAAGAAACAGGGGTTTCACCGTTTTGATCATCATGATCCTGTTCTTCAGCCTTATCATTGTAGAACCTCACAGTTGAATACCTCAAATAGCACCCAGCATTCAAAGCCCTCCCTTCCCTACTCGGCAAGCAGCTTGTAATACTCCTCCTCGCCTTCTCCAAGCAAGTCCTACAACCCGCTGGCTCAACACTCCCCCAACACTGCGCCAAACCAAACATCCCATTAACTTCACCAATCCCAAATCCGCCATTCGCCATGGCCGTCCTCGTCACATTCTCAACAACAACCCTAACATTCTCTCCAAACCCTAACTTATCAGATTCATCGATTTCCCCCAATTCCGAGGTGCAATTCACAGAATCCCTAAGGGAATCGGTGGACTCTTTGTAGAAACTGTAATTTTCATACCGGAGGAAGCATCCATCGAGGAAGATCCGGGCGGAGACGGCGGGAAGGCAACGAGGAAGGGCGGTGCGGCTGGCGGCGTAACAGAGAAGGCAATCGTTGTGAGAGAGATCGTTGAAGCACTGCGATAAGGCGAACATTGGGGGAGTAGAATTGACGAAATGAGTTGTCCAATTGCGAGTTGTGAGAAGCTCGGATATGGCTTCCATTTCTTCGATGAAGGTTGGGATGAATCGGGATTTGGGCGGAGGCTTGAAGGTTCCGCAGATGCTTCCGGCTTCGGAGATTCGGGGATCTGAGAGAGAAACAGAGAAGAACAGGAAGAAGAAGAAGAAGAAGAAGGAAACTCCATGGATGAAAATGGAAGCCATGATTTTACAGTAACTGGAAAATCTCTCTCTCTCTGTACAGTGAAGTGTTTGCCGCCATGGATGGAGCGTCTTCAAACATAAATATTTAATAATTTGAATATTATTAAAATAAATAAATAAATCGACAATGTGAATGCTTCGCTGCATGTCTGACTCTCTCACATTCCTACTTTGTTGGAGAATGGCTCTCTTATTCCAAGAAAGTAGTTCCTACAATAATTAATAATTAATAAAAGAGTTACAATTTTGTTAACCAAGATTAAAATAAAATGAAAATTTTTGGGGCGAAATTAAAATAGGGTTTAAATTCTTATTACGAATTCCCGGTTTGAAATTCACACAGACGAGTTGAGTAGCCTATGCACAATTATTCACATAGACGAGCTAAGTAGCTTATGCACGATTTGTTGAAGAGTATTATCGAACTGAGTAGTAGTCGGCTTATCCTTCTTTTAAGAGGGCTTGACCTTATTTTACGTGGAAGCCTCAAATCATGATATCCATGATTATTATACCTTATTATAAGTGACACGTGTAATCTTATATTTTTTTTTTCTCCATGTCTGACCATTACTTGCTCGGTTTTCACTTACGTAAGCAAGCACTGATTGCATGATATTAAGATTCCGCTGAAAAACTATTAGTCATTTATGTTAATTTTTTATTAATTAAAAATAAAATTAATTAATTGTCACTAATTTTTTTATTTATATTACTGTTAATTAAAAAATTCTACATCATAATATTTAAATTAATTAACGAAAAAAATAAGCAAAAATCAAGGGTGAAAAGTATAAAGCCTTAAAAATGTAAGGACTAAATAGAAAAATTAAATCAAAATTGTATTCAAAATTTAAATAAAAAGAGACAAATTTCTCTTTTGTTATTTATTTATAGAGAGAGAAATAGAGATTATGATTGGGCCACGACGCACCGTTTTATGCAGAGTTGGCCCTCTTAATTTAATGCCTTCATCATCCCCTCATTGCTCACATTTCTTTTTCTCCATTAATTTGGTTGCTTGTGGCCTCACAAATTTAGTTTCATTTCATATTTTAATTATTTTGTTCTTTTCTTTTTGTTTTTTTTTTTACTCAATTATCGAACCTATAATAATAAAAATAGCAAGAGTTTGTTCGAAATATATTTTATTTTTTGATCTTATAGTAGTTCAAATCCAATATCTCGGGCCTATAAAAAGTGGGATTTGTGCTTGTGGAAATTATCGAGTAATCGGAGATAAAAAAGAAGATTCGAAATTTTGTGAACAATGTGGAGTTGAATTTTTTGATTCTCGGATACGGAGATATCAAATGGGATTAAACTGGCATGCCCAGTAACCCATGTGTGGTATGTCTTCCTAGTTATATCGCTAATCTTTTAGATAAACCTCTTAAAGAATTAGAAGGCTTAGTATATTGCGATGTGTGATTTGATCAAAATTTTGATTTTACAGATTCAGAATGAGAAACTGTCATCTCATTCAAAGGGATGCCAGTAACATGAAGCTCTATGGTCGATTCAGTAATAGATAGGAATTTGAAGTTCTACCTCGTGAAAAGGTGTAAAGCGTAGCCTAAGAGTATGTTACGAGATATCAAGTGAAAAAGATGATTAGGAATGGGGCATTGGGTGGGTGGTTTCATTAAAAGCAAAATCAATTTTGGTTGAGAATATGTGTTTCAATAACACAAATAGTTCCAAAATTGTGCTTTTTTTGGCTGTTTGATTCATAAATTCAATTGGGTCACTTTCATTCACCTAAAATTGGGTGTCATCCAGAAGTAAGAGAGAGATGGCCATGGATCATAATTCTCAACTTTGAAGTTTTTTGTGAATCATCATTGTTAAAAAGACTAATTTAAATGACGCAGAGTGGGTTGAAAATGTGTATCTATCTTGGAAGAAAAAGGTTAGTTATGAAACTTTTTGTTACTTCACACCGTCATAATTTTATTGTTTCGGCTTTCGATTTTAAAAGATATAAGATCAAACTTATGTATTTATGTGAGATCACACATCAATTGGAGAAGAGAACGAAACGTTTTTTTAGAAGGGTGTAAAAATATCTCCGGTCCCACCAATTGGAGAAAGGAGTTCAGCAAGAACATTAAAATTTAAATGTGTAGTATTTTAGGGTGACAGCGAGGACGTGACATTTCTTCGTAGCCTATGTACCCAAAGTGTAAGCTTAGCTTCAGACAAATCGAATCAAATCCAATGTAAGAGACATTAGTGCATCAAAGATTCAAAAGAAAAAACAAATAAGCATGTCATTCATGGCTGTAAAATTGTAGGGTATGATCAAACCTATGGAACTTATACATTTACATCATTTGGTAATACCATCTACAATGGGTTCCATCTCCTATTCCTTTGCATTTGTAGTCAGAATATTTGCTATTTCAACATCACGCGTCCTACTTTTGTAGGGAAGAGGTACACAGAAGAAAAGAATTAAGCAATCAAAACTTACCATGGATTCAAAATTTGTCAGTCTTGCTAGCACTGGTACGACTGAGGGAACCACTTCATCATCAGTTCATGTTTCAGTTTTATAATCAACATGAAAACACCATAGCTTGGAATATGAATCAGTCCCATCAGTGCATACCTGAGATTCATCCAAGAAAATGGGTCCATAATCAATTTTATTCCATAAAAATCAGAATGGACAATTTTGATGGTAAGAAACTAGTGTTTAATAGTGTAAAATCAAACATTAAAAGGATTATATACAATCATCTCAAAGATGCTCTTAAGAATTGAAGAAACCTTGCCATTCGAAAAATGACATTTGAAGAGAAACTTACTAGTGAAATGCTGAGAGAGAACGAAAATAGCTTGGTTTAGCAACTTATGGAACTTATGGAACAAACGTTCAGAGTTTTATATTGTTCCATTCTGGTCTTACGTTAATATTTTATAAACTATTTCATCAGAACCTAAAACTAAGACGTTTTATGTTCATTTATTTGGTGAACAGATATCTACACTGACTATGTTTAGCTTGAAGTTACATCTAATAGTGTAGGTGTTATGTTTCAAAATAGATTTTTACTTCCATTGCAAAATGATTTAAGAATTAACAGCAAGGACTAGAATGGGTTTTTGAATAGAATTTAGGAAATGAGTACAAAGTTTATGGACCAAAACGGGAATCAAACCTTTTTTCAATGAATTTATACGATATAAATGCAAATAAATAGTCACTCGTTTGTTAATCAGAGCATAATTCCTAAACTGGGATGGAATTGCAGATCATGATGGATACTCGCGTCATGTGAAAGTTCATGTCAAATAATGTTTGAATAAAAAATGAGTCCGTACCATAATGGGGCATAAGGAACTGACAGATCAAGAAATGGATATGGCCACCTGCAGAAAAGAAAGCCAACTCTTGCTATTATCTTGGTGAATTTAGGTAAGAGTTGGAAAGTAGGACGCAGGGGAAGCATAAGTTACCCAATCGAAACAACTGCATTGATGATCCACTGGAAAATGACATAAATACCCGTCCATAAAAAGAAGAATGAAATTCGAAAGCTTGGGAGCGTCTGCAGAGGATTGACATCCAACAGCTTTTTAAAAGAAGGGTACAAGAGAGAGGAAAAAAAAAGTCACACGGAAGTACTAATTTAGTCTCTAAACATCGATTTGCAATATTTTAGTCTTTGTAACTTCAATTTTATAGTAATTTAGTAGTCCTAGTAGAAATTTAATGAAATTTTTTACATATGTATATAAATATATTGATTAGGTACCAAACATATTTATAAATTACAAAGCATTACATAATGAAAATCGACAAATTTGACCGTATTTTCGTATTAGAGATTAAATTATTACAAAATTTAAAGTAGGTGGCCTAAATTGTTAGTGGAGGGCCTCTAATTCTACAAACTAAGGTTCAAAGACTAAATTGTAACTTTCCCAACCAAAAGTATTTTTTTAACCAAAAAGTGATGTATAAGAGGAAACATTACCAAGCTATTAAGAGCAGTTTCACCGAGAAGTAAAGCCAAATTCAGCGTGTGCATATTGATCGTCATCTGACATTATGGAGATAACTGATTGAGATAGAACAAACCTTAGGCAACGGAGAATTAATATTCAACAAATATTCTCAAGTGACTATAATGATACTAATTATAGCTATATCAGAGCTATCATTTGATGCATCTACTCTCTAGTGGGTCTCAACTGATTATAGAATAGGAGAAACTTTTTCATTAACACAGAAAAATGCAACAATTTCTCAGAGTTTTGCATTTTGGGTCCACCTGCATCCAAGCAAACAACATAATAAAGCCAAACATTTTTCTTGAAACCACGGTACTTACAAAGCTGAAATTGTAATCTTTGATGGTAAGAAATGGAAATATGACGAACCAATAAGTGCAATCAGTGAGTACAACTGCCCCTGCATTTATCTGTTTGGGGAAAAGAGAAGTTGATTCAAAGTTCAAACAAATTTGAGAATTGATCTTTCATAAGTTAAATCGAAAGTTAACCTGGAATAAAACTTCAAAAATATAACTCCAGATGTCGGCAGGAGAAAAGCTTTGCTCCTTGGAATATGAAACTATATTTCCACCAATTAAATTTGAAGGCTTCCCAGAAAGAAGAGGAACATGTTGCCCTTCTTCCATATTATTCTCATTAAGATGTTCATTAAGACCTTCGGTTCTTTTTCTGTTGCAGATAAAAACTCCATATATGGAAATTACCGACCCACACTGAAAAAAAGAAATTTAGATCATGTACTACTGAAACATTTGAAGAAGCTGAAATACATTGAAGTGTGTGCTATTAATCAATACTAAAATTAAGAAAAAGAGAACATACCGCAAAATATATTGTAAGTAAAGTAAATGTCCACCTGCAAAACGATGCATGCAACAAAACAGTATCAGAAGATTATAAAGCGAAAAGGGTTCGTAATGCTTGAAAAGACGGTGGTACATGTTAGGAAAAGATGGTGGTAAATGTTAGAAACCACAAATCTCCACAACGGTACGATATTGTCCACTTTGAGCATAAGCTCTCATAACTTTACTTTTGGTTTCCCAAAAGGCCTCATACCAATGGAGATATATTTCTTACTTACAAACCTATGATCAACCCCTTAAGCCAACGTGGGACTCCTCTCCCAACCATCCTCAACAGTAAATTGCATCCCTTATAAGAACATAATTGACGATAGATGGATCAAAATATCAGCACTTGAAAGCCACTGTCAAAAATTTCCAACCTCCTGAAATTATGCAAACTGATATATATCTTCCCAGTAAATATCCAGAACACTCCAAATAGCCTCCACCCTTGATGTTGAATCCATAATTTAACTTCCTTATTTTAACTAAAAACAAATGAGACTAATTAAGACGAACCACTGTCCCAAGGGACAATTAAACAACAAGAAGTGACTAGAACACCTTAGCCAGAGACAAAACACAATAGGTTTGATTTGCTCTACTTTACTTTAAGATAGCCAAATGATAATCAAAGTAATTAGAGAATGCTTACTGGGTATAATAATAAAATGTGGAAGCCCCGTTAGCCAAAGTCTTCACAATAAGCGAAGCCAACATCGAACCGAACGCACAAACTCGAAAAGCCAACATCCAGATTGGATGAATCTGTCTGAGACATGGTCTCCAAGCTTCACAACTCCGAAGTTTGTTTTTATCTTGCTGAGTTTCTTGTGTGCTGTGTCCTAATCTATCCTTAATTTCATATTCCCATATCATCCAAATTGATAAGGTAAAAGAAGCAAATACCCAAATTGCACAGATCAATACCCTCCAGTTTAACCAGTACCCGAGGGTCGTTGCATCAGCAGTAGCCTCGAACAGCATCCTGAGAGAGAACATCATGAACTTAATTCCAAATTTCGTGGATCATCCTCATATTTCTAACACAACTTGCTAATTCACTGTGTTCATTAAATTCTATTCCGTATAACAACCGATCTAAACATATAATTTCGAAGAGTTTTTAATCATAGAAGAAGGATCCTCTGTAATCAATATATACTTCCAGATCAATGCATTAAAAGAAAAGCCAGGTTCAAACTCTCCAATCACGGCATAGATTAGTAAATGTAAATCGCATATCGTCAAAATCTTAACATAATTACATTCCTTAATCGGATAACTTTAAACCATTACTACGTAATTCAATTAAAATCCATTCCAAGCTACTGAGTTCTGAACTACAATTTTCTCAAATTGGAGCCTCATTTCATAAAAAATCCACAACACGTGATCATGAGGATCACTTTTAATTCCGATTCTGTACACGTTTTCCTTCATATTCTCAGCAACCAATCAGACTGAATGCAATCAAATTTAGACCACTTACAGAGACATAAAATGGGAAAAAGTGAAGGATTCCGGAAGAGGAAAAAGAATTTGAAGACGGTTCCAGTTCGAATCTTAGCTTTCGTTGATGGCGACAACAGATCTTCGCTTGAAAAGACGAAAATGTCAAAATCAAAGAATAATGGTCAGGGACCTGCTTCAGCTCCGCACTAAAAGTTCGCCACATCTCCCGAGGCGGCATCTATGGAGCTTCTTTTTCGATGAACGTTGGAATTTGACAATTTCTCAGCCTCAATTTTTTTTTTTTTTAAATTTTAAAGTATTTAAAATTCTTAAAAATTTCATAATTTCAACTATGCCCTCCAACCTTAAAAAATCTTACCTTTGCCCTCCTAAACTTTAAATTTGTTCAAAAGCAGCCATTCCATTAATTTTTCCATTAAGAAAATTAGAATTTGAAATAGATCACTTACACTCATGTTAATATTGTTATTAGGACCCAAAAATTTTTAGGTAGAAAATTGTTAGGGGTGTAATCCGATGGGTTGGATTCAAAATTTTGAATATACTCCGAGATTTTAGGTTAGTTGGATTGGTGACCCGAATGACTTAAATAGAGTCAGCCCTATTTTAAGGTGGTTGACAAAAAAAGTATCTAACCCAACCTTTAGTTGGTTAGTTTAGGTTATTTAGGTTGTCAATATGGACACTCTTAAAAATTTATTTCAATGAAAAATATATGAGATTGTTTTAGATTTAGACTAGTTTCGAGACAAATTTTGTTTGATTGAGGTGATTGAGGCATCCATTTTAAAATATAAATTTTTCTTTAGGTTGCCTTGGAAATATTTGAAAGCATCTTTTGAATGATTTGATTGAAATTGTTTTTGTATGTTTCTTGTAAGTGCTATGAATTAGGGTAACCAAATATGTTATGGCTACTCAAATTGTGCATCTTTCACAAACTCAATAGATGATTCAAAACCAATTTAAAACCAAGATATCTTTCATTATTAACATCAAAAGAATTTAGAGACTAAAAAGTTAAAACAAACTTGATTCTCAAAGTTGAATCTAAGAACAATAAAGACACCAAAACGTTTGAAGAGAGCACTGATTCTAGCGCCTAATAACATGTACATCTCATTCAGACAGACAGCCAGACAGACATCACTACATTTACAATTCAAGTCATTCTCTATTACAACTTCATAGAGCTGAAGCATGTTGTTGTGTGCAAAATTCAAAAACACATTCCCCCAAAAAATGAGGCCTGTTTCATCAAATATTTAGAGGATTCAGGCACACCACCCCCTGTAAAACACCACACACCCCCTCTTTCTTTTCCACCAAAAACTTTAAACGCCATAAAATATTTGGGTCTCTTTATAGTTTCCACAATAACCATATTACGCACCAAAAGGCCTATATAAACTAACTAACTAACCTCCATTGGCCCGACCTTTTCCCCTTCAAGAAGTGGCCTTGTGGGTCATATTTATCTGTCTGCTGCTCCCTTACTTTGGTCATCTTGTGGGATCATGCCTTCCTCGACCTCTTCTTGAGGATGCGAGGGGCGAGATCTCTTTTCATGTTCTCCACCGTCCGTCCTATCGCTGGGTGATTTTCTCGAAACCTTATCTGGGTTCACATGTGTGCCTCCAGAGTTTCCCTTCTCCAACATTGCTTTGTGAAAACTCAAAACTGGAGAACGTTCTCGTACTGCAGGAGCCCGGTTAAAACGGTTTGGACTTCGGCTTCTACTACGGCTACGACTTCGGCCTTGGTTCCAGCTTCCTGAACCATTCTTACTAGCATTTTCATTTCCCCGTGGAGGAATGTTGCTACGCTCCATCATTGCTTGATGAAAACTCCGTACTGGAGAGCGTTCATGTGAAACGGGTGGGCTGTGATCGCAGTTCCAACTTTTAGTTCGGTCACCTCCCACACCCCTTGGGGGACTCCGACTGCGACCGCAGTTGTATCCAGAATCATACCTGTCATCAAGGGACAGTAAAATCATTAAAAAAAAAAAAAAAACACCCCAACATTCTCCTTAAAAATTCCAGATGTAATTGGACCTGCCAGTCAACAAATCCCCTCCCCACTCCGCAAAATGATATTTGAGGAGCTCGAAAAATGATTAAAAACAATTTAGTACCTCTCTCGTGAGTCAAAGTCATATCCACGGCCACCACCTCGTTCTGGCTTGGCAGAAGAAAAGGAAGACATTCCCAGTCCACCCCTACCACCAGAATTTGAATCATTGCGCCCACCCCGACCCCCGTCGCGACCATCAGAGCCAGAACCCCAACGCCTGAACTTGGCCATTCCATAGCTTCGAGAAGCCATATCACGAAGTTCTGGTGGGACTCGCTGGTTAGCTCCCTCCAAAATTTTTATTAGATCAGAAGCATACTTGGCGTCCTGCTCACCAAAGAATGTGTAAGCAATACCAGTAGCTCCTGCTCTTCCAGTTCGACCAATCCTATGGACATAATCCTCCACTCCGGATGGGAAATCATAGTTGATAACAACCCTGTAATGAAGTAGATATTAGAAGATAATACGCTCCATTGAAGCAGTTCTGACATTGATAACAACCCTGTAATGAACTAAATCCGAAGATGCAAACCTGATGTCTTTAATATCCAATCCTCGAGCTGCAACATCAGTAGCTACAAGCACAGGAGTCCTACCGGTGCGAAATTGGCCAAGAACATGATCTCTCTCACCCTGGGATTTGTCTCCATGAATTGCAGCAGCTCCAAATTGGCGTGTAAGATTGCGAGCAAGCTGATCACACATTTTCTTTGTAGAACAGAAAATTATGACTTTTGATCCTGGTTCTTGAGATCTCAATATCTGCTCCAATCGTCTATGCTTCTCCAGTGGTGCTAAGGCTTCAATATGCTGCGATTCAGATCACAAGTCCAAATTTCAAAATTTGAGAATTTATGCCAATTCAAACAGAATACCTACAATAAAATGAAACACACAAACAACCTAACAATAAAGTGAACAAAATGAAAGTTGTTCCCAAATTTTGAAACCAGGTAATGTTAAGCTCATACCTGAGTGATGGACTTGTTCGCGACAAGCTCATCAACATTGCCAATATTGACTTGAATAGGATTAACAAGCAGATCTGATGCAATTTTGCGAACTTCTTTGGGCCAAGTAGCTGTGTACATTAAGGTCTGCCGTCGAGCAGGCACCTCTTTTACAATCTTTCTAATCTGGGGTTCAAAACCCATGTCCAGCATCCGATCAGCCTCATCTAGTACAAGATATGAAACCTGATGTAGACTGATTCTCCTCATCTCGAGAATATCATTCAAACGACCAGGAGTTGCAACTACAATATCTACTCCACGGTCTATATCCCTCAATTGTGGACCCTTTGGTGCTCCTCCATATAGACACTGCAAATCACAAATATTATTTAGTTTGGGCCAAAAAATCTATGGAATATTTAATCCAATTTCAGCATGCTTAGGAGGCGTACAAATAAAAGGAAGCAGTTACAAAGTAATCGGAGAGAAAATAAAAAAGAAGCTAAACATACACAAGATCATGGGGTACTTCCGAAGAAAAATGCCTTGCCTATCAGATAATAAAACCAATACCCCACAGGAAATGCAGCAATTAATTTTATTGTTCATGTCATCAAAGTGATAACAAAAATCATGTCATTACCATAATTTTGTTTTGAGCAAACAGTTACTAAAGTCAAGACTTTAGTGCAAAACATGTAAGAACATTTAAGGCATGAGATTAGTAAGTATTCGCCATAAGAAAGTGGACAAACCAGCAATGATTTGCAGATGGAATTATAAAGAGCTCCAATTGAACTGAAAAAATAATACTAATGAATAAAACCTATATTAGAACAAGCATACCGCACAAGAGATTCTTGACGATTTCCCAAACTTCACGGCTTCATCTTGAATCTGTGTCGCCAATTCCCTTGTCGGTGACAGCACCAAAACAGTAGGGCCTAGCTTAGGATCACATCGAATGCGCTTGAGATGAATAAAACCAGGTATTAAGTACCCAAGAGTTTTGCCTGAGCCTGTTTTAGCAATAGCTACAATATCTCTACTTTGAAGAGCAATTGGCCATGATTGCGCCTGAATTGGAGTTGGAGCAGAGAACCCTGCATTATGTACCTGGAAAAGTCACCCCTATTAAGCAGAGGAGGCTTCAAAATATCTGGTTGGTTTTCATTTTTCCATTTTTAGACGAATACGCTAAGTCCAGAAGAAGCAGCATCCCCCATATGCATGTGGCCAATGCTTGCTGATTGCAAGCTGCAGAAGGAGGAGGCCTCTTCTTTTGTACAAACTTAGTGGGACTGAATCATCACCAACGGCAGTCCCGGCTGCAAATATGGGTGATTCGGAAAGCCCTTCCCAGAAATTGGTCCACCATAAAAGGGCACTCCAAATTAAAGCAAGCCCCCAAACAAAGAGGGCACCACAGCGTACGACATTAGCTCCTCCCAGGAGCAAATATCGCACCTGCGACAAAAAAGTACAGGTGACAAAAAGAATTAACATGACCCCAGCAACCACTAAACTTTCAGCAAAAACATTTGTGTTCTATAGCTGAGCATTCCTACTGAATTATCAGTCATGGCTATTCTACAAAGATTAAAATCAACAAAGTCATAGAACAAAGTGGAAAATAATACCTCCCTAAGAATCTCAGGTGGGAAACCAGTGGCTTCAAATGATGAAAATGGTGGCGGCACATTATCTCCCTAGCAAAAGAATTAACAGAACAATCAATTCAACTATGAGAAGAAATATAATGAACATCATTTCATTTGCATTCAGATAATGGAGGTAAATTTCGAGAGGATAGCGGATTAAGATAATACCCAAAAGAAGCACAGAAAATCCAATCAGCTCTAAGAAAAAATAGAAATAAATTTCAGTGACTACATTCTAATGACCTTCAAAACTAGCACTCACCGAAAAAGTTATTTCATGTCGCTGTCGATAAGACTCTGCAGATAAACAACTTCCAGCATCTGACGGTCTATGTCCTTTCAACGATGCTCCTCCATGTCCAGTACTAGATATTCCATTTAAGGTATCATGTGACTGAAAGGTTTCACCCCTTGCAACCTGATGTAAAATTGGGTCACACTAATCATATACAATTGAGTACATAATACTCATTATATATTCACATCTCATAGGTTTGACCAAAATGTCTGAAGTTTTATAACACAAAACGACATCCAAAATCATTTCAAGAGATTAGTTTGCAAGAACATTTCATTTAAGTTTATAATCAATCAAACTTTTAGATAATAATATTAAAACATACATAATATTACAAGGTCAATAACAAGCCAGTTGGATTCAGATTACGGAAGTAAAACTAAAAATTTTAAATCTCTTGCATTGTAAAGCAAAAACAAAAGACGTTGAAGATCACATAAAACGTATAAAGCAGTAAGGCTAATTTCCCAATGAAATTTCATTTTGATTCCAAGAGAAGGAAGCAAAAGGGGAAAAAATGGAAAAACATCAATATAAGAAGAGTTGATACTAATGGCCTTAAAAAGTTTTAGTAACAGAAAGGTCATGGAAGACGAACATGCTAAAAAGTTAAAAGTTCAACATTCGTTAGGGTTGAGATACAGTGTACGTATTTCCTTTGTAATCAAATAAAAAAGAGACCTAATATATGTGTACTTGACTCTACCTCATGTTTGGGTGCCCCATGGGAAACTCTTCCATACTTATCGTTATTTTCACTCAAATTGTTGCCATAAGAGTGGCCTGAAGATGGCTTTTGAACTTGAACTGAAGAACTTATGGACACTATTGATGAATTAAGAGGAGCAGCAGCTACAGGTCTCTCGTATTGGGTGACATTAGTTTCTGGATTCCAAAAGTAAAGATACCCTGTTTTTCCATCAACTAAACCTCTCCATGGTTTGGGAAGGGTTGGATCCTCTGGTGCATATCGTGGGCCAACAGATACAGCAGTAGCAGTAGCCGCCATAACAAGGGAACAGAAGATACAACTCAACGGCTGAAAAAATAAATACAAAGAATTAGATGAGATGTCCATGCAATGCTCACATATGCAACTACGAATAATTATTTTTTCTCATAATTATACACATCGGTAGTACCAGACTATGACTAGACGGGAAAAAAAACTGCTGGCAAATCTGGGGCAAAACATTTTGAACTATTCGTAAGAATACAAGACTAGAGGAATCCCCTCTGGCCACGGTGACCCCTAATCACTAGGCTTCCAGAAGATGGAACCATGAAGGGAAAATCAGCCATTATCTTTGAAAGAAGCACAATAAATACTGGATCTATGCTCTTGCGATGGCCATTTAAGACAGATAAACATAAACATTAAACAATAAATCTCGGACGAGATCAAACCACCAAAAATCTCAATCCTTATTCCGAGCTAATGCACGAACAGAAACACAGAAAGAACGAAAAATCATTCAAAATCAACCTGTCTCGGAGCCTCCGCCAACCGCAAAACAGGTTGAGGCCTTGAAAAGAAAGATACAATCGCACGAAAACCTACGCGCTACGGCATATGCTGAATTCTAGAGAAATGAAAGCAAAACTGAACGCCGAGCGGATACAAAACCTAAGATTCTCCAGACCCCATCAAAAGTGAACAAAAAAAAGCACGTGCAACATAAATCCATGCCTTCAACCAAAGATTCTAAACAAATAAACAGCCCAAACAAGAACCCCAGAGAAAATGCAACCCTAAACCAACAAGGCAGCACCAAAATGAAAGGAAAACCGCTAGATCTGCAACTCCAGCAAGGAAATTCGGGAAAATAGGATCCTAACCTGAGAGAAATGAGGCCGCGTGGAAGGAAAACGAACCGAAAATCGAAACAATAGGTATGCGTTATCTCTCTACCACGCTTCCGAAAGCAGAGAAGCGCAGAGAGAGATGGTGGAGCGAAAAAATTGGGAATCGATTGCTATTTATACAAACTGGACGTTTGGCCGCGGCCACGGCCTTCCCTCTAACCGTGGTTAATCTGACCCAACTCTGGTTACCTCATATGCATAACACATTCGTGTATGTTTTAAAATCTCTTTTTCGTCGTCGAACTTAAAATAATATTTTATTTTTAATTCTAAAAATTTTAGGTTTATTTTATTTGGACCCTCTAGTTTCAAAATATGTATTTTAATATTTACCTTCATTTTAATTTCGAAAAATTAATCACATATTTTATATTTTTAGCAACATTATAAAAAAATAATCAAATGATATTTTAAAATTTCATTATCATTTAGCTATTTTAATCGAAATTTAAAATTTTATCTTGAAATATAAATTTTTTAAAATGTTAAACAGTTATATTTAAAACTTTGATTATGAAAATGGTAGGTTGTGACCGAAACGTTGTTTTGTTCAAGTGGGGAATGTCACAACTTACCTTAGGAGAAAGTAGGTTGTGATCCTCAGTTGTTTAAGTGGGAAAGAATGTCATAATCTAACTATGAAGAGTGTAGATTGTGACCCTCATGTTGCGAAGAATCGGTGACCCTCGAGTGGCACCCATCCAGCCAAGCGAGCACATTGTTTAAGGGGGGAATGTCATAACCTAACTATGGAGAAAGTAGGTTGTGATCCTCAAGTTGTTTAAGTGAGGGAGAATGTCATAATCTAACTACGAAGATGGTAGGTTGTGACCCTCATGTTTCGAAGAATCAACGACTCTCAAGTGCCACCCATCCGGCCACGCGAGTGTCTAGACAAGTGTCATATTGCAACCGAGGAGGACGGTGCGTCATTTAACACACCACATTGAGTGGGCATCCAAGAGAAGTCGAGGCATGAGCAAAACATGGGCAACAAGCAGACATGATTTTGGCGGCGAACGGTCATACTGTGTCATGGAGCATCCATCCGATGTTCGATTAACACCCAATTTAGTGAACATTCATATTTCATGTGATCGGACTTAACTCCAGAACTTACGAAACCCCACGGTGGCGCTATTGGCTTCATGTAATAGGGCTGTCGTGTTCCGGGGGTGGTGCTATTGGCTGTTCTAAAAGCAAAATATAGTGTACAACAGAGACTGAACAACACAGGCCAGCTAAATAATGATAGAATTAAAGCCTCATCCTCCCAACAGTTAATTATTTACGGAGCCAAATTACTTTGTTCTATAGAACACCACGTTTTTTTACTGCAGAAAGAAGGCTTTACAAATCAAATCATTCAGTTTTGGTGGCTATACACTTGACCAAATCTAAGATTCTAAAGTAGTCATAAAACAAGATGGATTCTTTGCCCTCGAGTCCGTCTCGAGTGTACCTATTGCTACCCGTAAGGTTATTACAAGGGCTCCCTCCGACTACGAGATCGAAACCTCCAAATAAGTTCATATAGTATTGTAATCTATCTGCATCTAGCTCTTGCACATCAGCAAGATCAATCAAAGTACCTTTTTGGTTCGTTTGCTCCCACCAACTTCGCACAATGTTTCGGTTCACTTCCGAGATATCGACCGAGACTACATTTTTAAGCGGGATACCGAGGCGATGAAGTGCCACTTCTGCACCTCCGATACCAGAAAAGAGTGAGAGGAGATTGATTCCTCCTGGGAACATGTCCTTTAAAACCGAAAGATGATACGCCACAGTGTCGACCTGAAACAATGCAATGTTGTAGCCAAATATGTCGTAAGATATCACAACCGTCGAACGTGAGTCAATTTCTACCATTAAATCGGGTCATATTCAAAAGATGATTAAGTGTGATCTAATACAATAAGACTCCGGAGGACGAAATGATCGGTACCTGGAATGAATTGCCAAGAGACTTGTATCTATCTGTTCTACTGATTCCACCCCCTCTAGTATGGTTCTTGGGGAATCCCAAAAGCATTTCTACTTCATCGGGTTCGAGTGGGGCAACCTTATTTTTTCCGACCCAAACCAAATTCCATTTTCGACATTGTTCTACGACAAACTTTTGCACATGTAATGGCAGATCCCGTTCGCCATCGTAATCTTCAAGAGCTTTACGAATCCTATCGGTCAATCGAGCACTTCCAATGCAAGTTTGTAAACAATTTAACTGTGTTCTAAAATCCCATGAAGGCCACCATTTCCTTGTTAAAGGAAATGCTTCATGAACAGTGTGGGGAGGCAAAGGAAGAAGAGGAAATCTGTTATGTATTGGGAGATTATGAACATAGCCTCTTTTTCTTGCAGCAGCACAGAAATATTTGGAATCAACAAATTCGGGTTCAACGTCGTATAAGAAGCGGGAAATTGTATTCCATACTCCTTTTGGAGCGAGCGCCACATTTTCGTAGTAAAAGTAGGGAGGTCCCATGGCTGCTTCTGGAATTTTTCTGTGAACCGTAGGAGACAGTTCATTCGGAACCCCAAACCCAACCATTGGGTTTGGCAGACGAATTGTCTCGTCGTCGTCGTCATCAGGGCACCTCGGCTTCTTCTTTTTCCATGACTCGTAATCACAATGCCTTCTCTTTTTGTGCTTACTGCAGGCATTGAGTTTCGTCGGCTTTGGCTGTTCAAATAATATCAGCAGAGACGTTTAAGCGGGTTTCGTTTCCGTTATGATGCGTGCAGAGCTTTAAGATCAAGAATTTAATAGGACAGAAAAGTTACCCTATCAGGGAGATCACCAAGAAGAACATCTGCAGCCTTTGAAATTTGAGCAGCAGATATAAAATCTGTCAGCTCTGCAATTGAGGAATGCACACCTGCCAATTTTAGAACAATTCAGAGAAGTGATGCTTAGATATTAAAGATTTATAAGTCCTACAAGGAGGTACTAACCACATCTGTCTATTGCTGCATAAGCTTCATCTTCAGAGTATCCCATGTCCACCAAGAACATCCTTTTGTTATCAACATCGGATACCGGTTTTGCTGTCCCCTACACGACGAACCAAACTATCATGAAACATTGAGTAGCATCGAATATAGAAGTAATTCATAATCATCCGGTTAGCATTGATCTAAACCAACTCATTATGTATACAATTCAACGTGTCAGCTATTAAACAACTTATTAGAAACACAAGACAACCAATCAGAAATATCACCAAATCGCCCGCCCTTTGGGAATGCCCTCAGCATCGAGGAACATGTACTAAGGTGTATGTGCGACTCGTTCAGACCATGGACCGAAACAAAAAAAAAAGGAAAGTACAAAATTTTTCCCGTATCAGTGAAAAATACCAGCATCAGATACCGGTTTTGCAGTCCCCAACACGACGAACCGAACTATCATGAAATGTTTGAGTTAGCAAGGAGGGATAAGCATTGACTCAATTTTTTTTAATGAAACACCTTCTCAGAATGAAGGAAAGAATGCCACGAATGGTGGGCATTTTAGCGGGATAATCTTTTCCCTGTCTTTTAAGGGGGTCGACTCAAGATTTTGGAAGGAATCCTTTAGCTAGCTTTGTATAACTGACGCGAGCCATATGGTTTATACTTGATCTTGTAAGTCTACTTGTAGTCAATGGCTTGTTTCCTATTAGTTTTCGTTTCATTTCCGCTCCTGTAAAGGAATATCTGATTCTGATTCTTTCATTCTGTAAAGGTTCCTCAATATATATATATATATATATATATATATATATATATATAAAGATAAGCCCCTAGAGGAAAAGGCTCTAATTGAGCAAAATAGAACCTATAGAATAATTACAAAAGCTCATCGACGTCGAAGCCCAAGGGACCAAACCAAAGATACCATGTGAAAGAGCATACAACCCGACAAGCCTAAAAATCGGCCCTTTTCACGAAATGACAAATGGAGGATATACTCTCCAATCATATCACAAAATGACTAGAAAGCAATCTGCTCCATGAAACCAAAGAAAAACAACCGACCTCATTTTCAGAATCACTGTCTGTATCAGTAAAATCATCCAGAAAACTTCCACCGTAATCTGAAAACGAGTCGTCACTATCGACATGCTGCTGCTTCGGAGGAGAATTTTCAAGAGCCTGCCAGAAGAAAAAGAAATGATCTCAACATATATAAATACGAATGAGAAGGTGACAGTTGCTAGTCAGTGATTGATGTATAAGACAAGAAGGTCATGACAACTTCTAGGCAACGATCTTTGAGTATCCTACGAAACAACTGATTGAGATCTCAACAACGTCCCAGACACGTGAAATCCAGTTCATTAGTCTAAGTAAATACGAAATGGACAGTCTAACATGTTGTCATCTGAGAAACTCACCGACAACGTGAGGAGAGTCTCAAGTATAGAATTCGTATTTTCCTCTCCTGGATAGTCCATCAAAACAAACAAGAAATTACTAAAAATCTTGTTTCGTTTCTTATAAAAATTATTAAATGAACAAATAAGAAATTACCATTTTCCTCGATAGCTTTGGAAACCATTTTTGCAGAAAATCCCATTCCAATAAATTGATCGACTATCTTCGAGTTCGAAGGACCTGCAGATGAGCTTCCCTTCGTGAGGAAAACAAAAAAGATAAATTAGAATTAGTAACACAACAAAATCCTATGCATCAATCTAAGCTTGACATTGTCAAAATAATATTGTCTAGTGTCTTTTAGCAAACCGAAAACTAACACGGACAAACTTTGCTACAAATATCAACATAAAATACCATATTTTCCTTGACACCAGGAAAAGCCAAGCTCGCATGAGAGGCTAAAGGTATATTCTCAATTTCTAGCTCATCTTCTGTGTCCCAGTTAATGTTATCAACTTCAACACCAAAATCGTCCCCAGCCTACACAAAATAACGTACAAGCAGAGTTAAACCAAACAGTAAA